CCTATGTAATCAATACAATTGTACTTGATGATAATAACATGATGCATGAAACTAACGTGCAAGGACGACCCTTGCGCTATGAGATTCGCCCAGGTTGTACGACAAACTCACGCCACCTTAGTCTCACGAATGAGGTGAAACTAGAAACAATATGAGGGTGGTACTCGAAAGCCTGGATATCATATACGTACACTAAGCCCGAACGTGTGATGTCAAACTGCTAAGTCCTGCACAATCACGCTATAAGAGACGCACGAGGCATGATCTCTTACGCATGCATATGATGTGATATGCTTCAATATGAATGATGAAATGAATGATATGATATGAACAATTTGCAACACATATGAATATATAATCATGCATTAGTTTATTTGGATGAAACATGATTAAAATATCATTTAATTAAGCTACGGGGCTCGGAACGGTCAACCGTTTGACACGGTGGTCGACCGTGCCTAAAATCATCTCGTCAATTTCAGATCACCGTGACGGTCGACCGTGCCTGACCAGCGGTTGACCGTTGTTGACTGCTTGAGTTTTGTTGTGTTCGCGTGAGCTTTGGCGGTCGATCATTCTGTTGAGAGTCGTATTTCGTTTTGAAGATTAATACGGCGGTCGACCATTTGCATCGACTGTTCGGGTCTACAAAACTTATTCTTGATATGTTGAGTGTCTAAAATACTTCTTTAAGTCTATTAAACACCTTTGATTAACATATGCATATTGTTGGGTTGTTTTCCAATATTTATAATTGCTTATGTATATATATTAACTTTATGGATTTGGTGTATTTTGATTTTAACACATAGATGACTTATATATGTATCACATATATATTTTGGGGTGATTTCAACATATGGATTAATATATATGTTCATGTACGTATGTGATTAATGATTCGACAAGTGTAACGCAAGGGTACAGACCTGGAAATAAATGGCCGAAACCTTGCAAACGAACGGGAGTGAAAACAACATCGAAATTCACAATTGGACAGCCTGCCGTATTTTGGGCATATCTCCATCATTTCTTCACGGAATTGCAAACCGTTTGATTCTGTGGATTCCTAAGATGTAAGGCTATAAGTTTTGCATAGAGAGTATTTTGAGTTAACAGATATAAGATAACGTAAATCGGACCTGAAGTCAAGGGACAGTTGCTGTACAGGATTTCGGATATGTCGATGAACAACGATTCCGACGATTAACTCATTAACTTCAATATTACAACACCGAACCTTCTCTACGATACCTTCCGGATGTTCCTAATAATCGTTAGAGAGTTTATGGTAAGTGTTTGGAATGAAACAACATGAATATGGTGAGGAAACATAGCCAACCCGAGGAGCTCGCCACCACTGGCGCAGTCCCGGTATTTTGGTCATATCTCCTTCATTACTTAACGAAATCGCGAACCATTTGTTGGGCTGGATTCGTAACGTCCGGGACTACAACTTTGGTGTAGAAAGCAATACGAAATAATGGATTGAATTTCAGTTTTTACCTTAAAGTGGCTGCTTCGTTTTTGAGCTTAAGATTTGGAAACTTTAGATGTTTTCTTGCTTCTTCTTCTTCTTCTTCCTTAGCATACAACCATGGATTATTTTTGTGTTTTCTTCCTCCTTAGCTTGCTGCCGATAGAGAGAGAGAGAGAGGGGTGGGGAATGGAGTTGTGATGGTGGATGGTGATGATGATGTATAATGATGATGGTGGTGGTGGAATTGTGTAGGAAAAAGGGTTGAGATTTGGAGTGTAGTTATAGCCATGTTGTGTTATAGATAGACCTGGCAAAACAGAACCGGAACCGATTACCTGAACCAAAATATCCGAAACCGGAATGACCCGAAAGATGAAGATCCGATCTATAACCGAAAACCCGAAATGATCCGAATCGAATCGAAACCGAACTAAATAATTCATATTCAATTTAAATCCAAAACCGATTAGATCCGAAACCGATAATATCCGAACCGATTAAACCCGAAACCAATTAGATCCGAACCTGATAATACCCGAAACCGATAAAATCCAAAACCGATTAGATCTGAAATCCATAATATCCGAACCCGATTAGAACTAAAATCGATAAATTCCGAACTATGTTTGCCTTTCAATAAGCATATTATATTTTTAAATTTTTACTTTTATTTTACCATTTGAACTAATTACATTACTTGTTCATTCTCTCATAAAATTGATTATCTTCTTGAAAATAGTATAAAATTTTATGCCTTAAATTTGTTATATGTAGAAATTAAAGATAAGTTATACATATAAATGATAACGCACAAACAAATAAAATTTCCGTAATTTTTAAATAGTGAAGTGTGATATTCTTTTTGGGACGAAAGGAATATATGATGAATTGTATGGAATAACTAGATTTTATCCTAATTTCATCTCATTACAATAAATTTTATTGATTTGAGAGTTAATTTGATTAGTTCCAAACCAATTCACTCAATATTAGTCAATAAAATTAGATGCTAGTGTTAGCATTTTGAAAAGACTCTCTAGCGGCAGCCTTTGCTGTTATCATTTTCAAATTTGATCTACACCATTACATTTAGGTGTAAAATTAATTATATTTGACTCTATTAAATTTAATTTTCCCTATTTTCAACCAAATATACACAATAATTTACAAATTTTGCACTCGAGTGAATAAAATTAACTTAATTTCACCCAATTTCACTCAATTTTTACCACATTGTATTCAAATGGAACATAAGACTATTTGAATTTATCTTTTATCCTTTCATTTATGTACATAAGTATATTACGGAGTAGTAGATGTGAGAAACATTTGATATTTCAAAACTAAATTTTAAAATCAATTTAATTATATTAAATTTATATCATAATTAAATATATATGTTTTCATAACTTGTAGTCCAAATTTGTAAAATATGACTAAAAAGTCAAAAAGGGAAAGATTATTTAGGGTAGAGATAATATAACTAGAAAAAAATATAAAATAATATGAGGTATTGAATTGATGATAGATTGATAAATGTGATAAAACATAAAAAGAAACACAAATAGTTAAATTTTAATTAGAAAAAAATATATATCCAAAATATATTTGATCCGAAACCGAAATATATCCGAACCGAACTAGACCCGAAACAAAAATATATCCAACTCAAATTGTATCCAAACCAAAATTTATCAGAACCGATTTATAACTGAACCGTATCTGAACCGACTCGAATCCGAACCGAACCGAAAAATGTATAGAACCAAAATCAAATCCGAACCGAAATTTAACCGATCCGAACCGAATCGAACCGATTATAATATATAACTGAAAGATATCCGAACCGAAAAAATCCAACCCAAAACTGATCCGGTTGATCCGATTGCCACCCCTAGTTATAGACTAGGATTTATATTTTAGTGATAGTAGGGATCCCTTTGTGGACTAAGAGAGATTTTAAGAGATCTCACAAGGTGGCATACGTGATTTGGTAAATAAAATTTTGGCTTTTGGCAAAAACTGAACCATTTATCCCAAACGATATACACTTTTTCGCCCAAATTGTTCTGAAATGAAAATGGGTTATGTTTTTGGAGTCAGACTGTCAAAACTAACATTTTTGCATAATTAAAATATTTTTCTGAGAACTTTTATTTTTCTCAGTGTTCAGGTCTTTCTCATTCATAAATTAATATAATAATATGAATGAGATAAAATATTTGAATTAAATCCAAATGATAAATATGGTGTTGTCAAGTGTCAAAGATTTAGATTTCTAAGCTTATGAAATCACTTTTGAATTGAGTTTAATTTATGGGTCAAAGTAATAAATTTCAATATTTAAAATCGTCATATCTTGAAATCTATAAATCAAATTGGTTAATAAAATGTACCGTTGGATTCGTCACTTCGAGACATATCCATAAAAATAAGTTTTTAACAAAAAGTCTTTATTTTGAAAATCCATTTATTTTTGGTCAAACGTATATATATTCCTTATTGGACCAAAATGGTATTCAAAACTACTTTTGTTTTATAATAAATTTTAGACCATATTTTGTGGCGTTACATGGTTTCTCAGGAGGAAGACTGGTCAAAGCTAGAACCGGGCGACGAGACCGAGCAGATTGTTCTCTAGGAGGCATTCCCAGAAAAGATGGTGAGGATTGGTCGGGATTTACCCGAGGGACTTCAAGAAGAAATCATCTCAGTCCTTCGGGAACACGCTGACATATTCGCTTGGAGTGTGGCGGATATGCCGGGCATTGACCGTTCCATCATTTGCCACTTGTTGGCTGTAATGGAAGGTAGCTGGCATGTGAAACAAAAGAAGAGGCACTTAGCAAACGTTCGGAGGGAGTTTGTCAAGAAAGAGGTGAAGGATCTGTTAGGGGTCGGACACATCAGGGAAGTCCAATACCCGGCTTGGCTGGCTAATGTCGTCTTCGCAGCAACGGGCGACACTTGGCATATGTGCGTAGATTACACAGATCTTAACAAAGCATGCCCCATGGATTCATATCCACTGCCCAGTCCCGATCAGATGGTCGATGAGACGGCCAGGTTCGAATTGTTGAGCTTCATGGACGCCTTCAAAGGCTACCATCAAATCTTCATGGCAAAGGAAGATGAGGAAAAGACTTCTTTCCTGACTCCCGAAGGCACGTATTGCTACCGAGTAATGGCCTTTGGACTTAAGAACTCTGGCGCCACTTACCAACAGATGGTGAACCGGCTTTTCAAGCCTATTCTCGGTAAGTCCATGGAAGCCTATGTGGACGACATGCTGATAAAGAGCCCGGGAGCAACAAACCACCCTGCTGACATGAGGCTTTGTTTTGAGATGATGACCAAGTACAATTTACGCCTCAAACCCAAGAAATGCGTCTTTGCAGTAAAGACCGGAAAGTTTTTGGGGTTCATGGTAACGAAACGAGGGATTGAGCCCAACCCAGAGAAGATCAAGGCGATAACTAGGATGAGGTTGCCCAGTTCCTTGAAGGACGTGCAGCGACTGACCGGGCAGTTGGCAGCTTTGATCCGTTTCCTATCTCGGTCAGCTGAGAGGGCCCTACCTTTCTTCAAGGTCCTAAAGAAAGCCAACACCTTCGAATGGGACCGGGAGTGTGAAGAGGCCTTCCAACAGCTGAAAGAGTACTTAGTTTCTGACATTGTTTTGTCTAAACCCAAACCGGGTGAGACTTTGTACTTGTATCTGGGCATATCCCAAAATGTTGTAAGCTCTGTTTTGATAAGAAATGAAGATGGACAGAGGCCTATTTACTATGTGAGCAAAGCACTTAATGGGGCAGAAAGCCGGTACACTGCAATTGAAAAAATAGCGTATGCACTTTTTATAATGGCCAAAAAACTGAAAGCATACTTCCAAGCTCATGCAGTGGAAGTACTGACCGACCAACCACTTGGCCAGTCCTCCGCAACTCAACTACTTTGGGAAGGATGATCAAGTGGGCAATGGTGCTCACCCAGTTCAAAATCGATTACAAACCTTGAACTGCGATCAAGGGCCAAGCCCTGGCCGGCTTCCTAGTCAGACTGACCGGTCTGGAACCTGAGGTGGGACCATCCCATACGGTCGAACCATGGTGGGACATGGCCGTCGACGGGGCTTCAGGACCGAAGGGATGTGGGACCGGGATAGTTTTTACGACTCCTGAAGGATTCAAGATCTACCATGCCTTGGTGTTTAACTTCAAGCTTACCAACAACGAGGCAGAGTATGAGGCGCTGGCCGGCGGGCTCAGATTAGCCCGGGCACTTGGTATCAAGAGAATAAAGATCCGGTCTGACTCAAGCCTAGTTGTTGGATAAGTTAATGGAGAAATGGAGGTAAAAGAAGAACGCCTTGCCCGGTATAGTGATTTGGTTCGAGCTCTTTTTAGAGAATTGGAAGAGTTCCGTTTGACTAGGATACCCTGGTCAGAGAATACTAATGCAGATATGCTTTCCAAACTAATGCAAGCCTGCCCGGAGCATGTATCAAATTTGGCCAAAACTGAGATATTAGACCTACCAAGTGCCGACTGGTTGGAAGTCGCGGCCGTCCAGCGTGGTCAGAGCTCGCCTGTTGGAGTGATTGAAGCGGATGATGAGTGGAGATATGACCTCGTGGAATACTTGATGACCGGCCAGAAACCGGACGACGAAGAACGGGCCAGGAAGGTAGTCTTGCGGGCTCCCCGGTTTCATGTTCTGGATGGTCACTTGTACAAACGTGCTATTGTAGGACCTTTACTACGCTACCTCACCGATCCGGAGGTAGAATGGGTGATCGCCGAGGTACACGAGGGAGTTTGTGCTACCCATCAGATGTCCCGTACACTGGCCTGGAAATTAGACCTGACCCGGAAATTAGACCTGACCCGGACCGGAATGGACTGGTGCAGACCGACCCGGAATAATCAGGTTCGATCTTCGGTCTTAACAAATTATGGATTCCGGGTTCCGGTCCAGTTCGGTCTAAAACCCAAAAATAACCGCTCTGGACCGGAATTTTTAAATTTATTATTATTTTTAATTTTTTATACCTAACCTATCCACTAATCCAACTATCCAAGCCCAAGATTTATTATCCAGTCCAATTAATCAAACATGAGACTAATACAAGTCACGAAGCAATTCCTCTCTACAAAGAAGAAGCCATCGCTGCAAACAAGAATATTTTCCTTCGAGAGATGGAATGGAAAAAAGAAAGTACGGCTATAAACAAACCAGTTCTATTTTTTTTGTCACAAATATTGTAGAACTTCTCCTTTAGTCATTCCACATCAAAACTTGACAGTGGGGATCATGTCGATTTTTCAAAAATATTATTCATAGCCTTATTCTATGTATGGTTCTTTAATATTACAACTTGTGATTTTCTACTATTTTATATTTTGAAGTTTGAACTTTGATTTGAGAATATCTTTTTAATGGATTGTGAAGTTAAGACCTAATTTACCTTGTGAATCTTTCAATTATCTCTCCATTGCGATATGTATGAACTTGTGGAGATATTAAATCATGGTTTTGTCAATTTTGTGCATATTTACATAACAAATTTTAGTTTATGTGACTTTTTAATATAACAAATCCAGCCCATAATAGGGTAAACCCAGATCGGACCGGAAAATTCAGCGGTCCGGTCTTCGGTCTTAAGAAATGCTTGATTCCGGTTCCGGTCTGGTCCGGTCCGGTTTTGGACCGGTGCACATCCCTACCTACCATCGTTGGAGATTGCGAAAGGTATGTGGAAAAGTGTAGGACGTGCCAAGTCTTTTACAAACATCCTAGCCGGCCGGCTACATATTATCAACCGACCTGCAATGTCATACCCTTCGTCCGGTTTGGGATTAACATTATTGGGGCATTCGTAGTTGCGCAAGGCGGAAAGAAGTTCGTGATGGTCGCTATAGATTATTTCACCAAGTGGGTGGAAGCTGAGGCGATGGCCACCATAACCGTGCGCCAATGTGAAAAATTCGTGTGGAAGAACATTATTGTGACCGATAATGGCCCACAGTTTCGCCACCCCCGGTTCACGGCATACTTGGCCAATTTTGGGATCAAGCATTACAAGGCTTCGGTGGCGTACCCCCAAGGAAATGGCCAAGTTGAAAATGCTAACCGGACGATAGTGGACGGGCGGAAAAAAAGGTTGGGCGAAGAAGAGCGCAAGTGGTTGGAAGCATTGCCTCGTACAATCTGGGCACACAGGGTTGACTTTTAGGAGAGCAACCGGGGAGACGCCATTCGTGCTAACTTACGGATGTGAAGCCCGGTTACCAATCGAGGCAGAATTCCCAATATTTAGAGAAGCCGTGTATCAAGTCGGTCAGAACGAGGTTGACCACATGGCTGAGTTGAATCTAGTGGAGGAGAGAAGAACGATGGCAGCTATCAAAATGGCCAGGTATCAGCAATCAGTAAAGAGATATCATGATAACTGGGTTGGTCCACATTATTTCCAGGCGCACGACGAAGTCTTACGAAGGAGGGATGCCAGTAAGCCCAACGAAAGAGGCAAGCTAGTGCGCAACTGGGAAGGGCCGTATCGCATTAAGGCGATTATCCGCCCGGGCACTTATCAACTGGAAACCATGGAGGGTGGACGAGTCGACCGGCATTCGAACTCTCACCACCTGCGCAAGTTTTATAGATGAGTGTAATATGTTCCCGATAATGAAATAAAACTTGTTCATTTCAGAAGTATCGTTTTTAAAGCCGGTCAAAAATTGGTTACAGACCAGTCTAACCGGGTAGATGTTCAATCGAATTGGACATCCAAAAAAAATAGCCAGCCGGTCTGGTCAAACTATCCGTACTGACACAGAATCAAATGACGTAACCAAAAAGGGAGAGCATCCCGGCTTGGTTGGGTCAAACGATCAAAAATACAAGGCCTATCTTTCAACACGGGCGGAAAGCCAATATGAAAGACAAGCCGGCTTCGTTTACACCCAGGTAGAAAACCATCCTTTCGGAAAGGACATGGTAAACTTTTCTTGGGCCAAAACCATTCGGGGAAGGATATCGGTCGGACTCCATCTCTCCTCGGTCACCTGGTTAATCTTTCGAAAAGATTTGGGTGAATTCTTTAAATCGGATAGCTTCAGCCGGGCTGCTGAAACACGGGTTTATCGTGTTTTCGTACTAAAGTCGTGTTCGTTTTTATGACAGGTTTTGATAATGCCAAACCGCCGTGAACGAGACATGTCGTTGAATATACAAGGTGAGAACCAAAGATGAAAAAAAGAGAAAAAGAGCTAAAACAAGACCAAGAACGAAGACCGTAATCTTAGTGTCGTTGAGTCGGTCACAATGTGATCAAGACCAACCCAAGCTTTGCACTTTGGCTCTTCAGGCTAAAACATTTTTTTATTGCATTTTACATATCATCAAAACTATTTTCAAACATGCTTAAACATATTAAAAACACTTGGTGTTCGCCCAAACCAAAAACCAAGCCATCTGGGGTTCGGCTTTCGAAAATCGGCGTTCAGTTTTCAGAAACTGGCTTTTGGCATTCGGTTATCGGTGTTGGTTTTTGGAGTCCAAACCAACCAATTCCGTTACCGGAACCAACACAAATCACACCAAGACTGGAACCCGCCAACCACGAGATCATGGGTTGGCCAAGGTAATTCCTAAACGATCATCTAGTCGTGTGTGTGTGTGCGCGTGTAAGGAAACGAATTTTGGGTGTGTGTGTGGGCAATAAAGGTTAACTAAACCCCAAGGACCCATAGACATACTTTGGGTACCAAAGTGTTGCTTTTTTGCAAGTACGTATCAAAGTGAGGAACTCAGGGGGAACCAGCGATGGGTGGTTTATCCCATCACTGGGAAGGAAGTATTTTGTAACCAGCAGCCCTCTTCCCATCGATGGGAACTTCTTCCCATCGCTGGGTGTTTGACACTTTTTTTAAAAAATTTTTTTTAACGGATTTCCAGTAGCTGTCTTCCCATGGATGGGAGAACCTTACCATCGCTGGGAAGACTGCCTTCACTTTTTCCTCCCTTTCCAGTACCTGTCTTCCCATCGATGGGAGAACCTTACCATCGCTGGGAAGCCTGTTGTAGTTAAAAAATAATAGTCGTTGGGCACCTCATTCAATGCCCAACAACCATATTTTTGAACACCAAGGGCCCAAATCCTCTTTTCCTATAAATATCAACCATCCTGGGTCATTTTTTTAACACACAATTTACATTCCTTTTGCATACTTTAAGCCTCTACTCACTTTCTAAATGCTTCAACAATGGCCAGTGGAAAGTCGAGGACCAAAACAGAGGCTTCAAAGAAGAAGGCCAACACCGACGCCACGACCTCTTTTTTATTTTCTCCTTATTAAATATGATTGAATTTTTATCCGTTGTATTCCGCATTTCCCTTTTAATGAATAAAAGTTTACTTTTAATTCTTTTTGTTAATGTCAAAAGGGGAAGATATAAAGATTATGCATAGATTGAGGGGGAACTTTTTCTAAAACTAACTCTTATTCAACACATAAACTTTGTTGAAAAGAAAATTGCATTTATTAAGGAGGGACATTTTTTAAGTCTCAAATCAATCCTCCTATGAAAAGAAAATTGCATTTGTTGAAACACGGGTTTATCGTGTTTTCGTACTAAAGCCGTGTTCATTTTTATGACAGGTTTTGATAATGCCAAACCGCCGTGAACGAGACATGTCGTTGAATATACAAGGCGAGAACCAAAGATGAAAAAAAGAGAAAAAGAGCTAAAAGAAGACCAAGAACGAAGACCGTAATCTTAGTGTCGTTGAGTCGGTCACAATGTGATCAAGACCAACCCAAGCTTTGTACTTTGGCTCTTTAGGCTAAAACATTTTTTTATTGCATTTTACATATCATCAAAACTATTTTCAAACATCCTTAAACATATTAAAAACACTTGGTGTTCGCCCAAACCAAAAACCAAGCCATTCGGGGTTCGGCTTTCGGAAATCGGCGTTCAGTTTTCAAAAACTGGCTTTTGGCATTCGGTTATCGGCGTTGGTTTTTGGAGTCCGAACCAACCAAGTGGTTTTCAACTTTTCATGATTGGTTTTTACTTCTGGGCACATTTAAATAGTTTTCCATCAAAAACACTTCAAAAACCACCTTTCGTTTTTTGTCTTTTGATAAAAACCATGCGAAATAGCATAAACTTGGCTAGCCGTGGCTTTTACTTAAATGAAGTGGTTTTTGAGTCTTTTTGTGTGGGAATTGTTTTTTGAATGCATTTAAATGGTTCTCCAATCAAAACATCATGAAAACCACCTTTTGGTTTTGTCTTTTGGTAATAACAACCCGTGTACGGCATTGACTTGGTCAACCGTGGTTTTTACCTTAACGACGTGGTTTTCAACTTACGAATCTTGTTTTGACATCACAATACATTAGATAAGTTTTTTATATACTTAGTTTTTACTTTGGAGAACTTTGCATTTTTCGGTCGGGTTTTAGCGCTGGTCAACTAGGCCATGGTTCTGGGCTAGCCATCTACCCAGCGATGGTAGATATCACCCATCCATGGGTAAGTGATCCGATCCCGGGATTCCAGAATCATGCCACCCAGCGATGGGAGATATTACCCAGCGATGGTTAAGCGGCCTTAAGCCCAATTGAATTTTAGAACCATGCCAAACAGCGATGGGAAGCTCTACCCATCGTTGTTCAAGCCTTGGACCAATATAATCACAAGGCAGAATGCCCTTACCCAGTGATGGGGACCTTTACCCATCGATGGGAACCCAGCGATGGGAGGGCACACCCATCGCTGGTTAGGCATGACCGTTGTGAGTCATTTATGGCTGATTCTTTCCTTGTTTGAAAGTCAACCTCCCACCCAGCGATGGGAAGCATTTACCCATCGATGGGTAGGTGACCGTTGCCTTCAAAACTGAAGGAAAATTGGCTTACCAGCGATGGGTAAGTCCATACATCGCTGGGAAGCCAATATCCTGAAGATCCACATTTTAATCAATCCCATAAATCAAGCCAATCACCCCTTAAATGTTTTGATCCGTTGGAGCCTACTTTGGCACTATAAAAAGGGGTGTTTGGGTCTGCTTTACTCATAAAATTAACTTCACAATATTCATACTATCATTGCATTCAAACAACATCATTTTCCATAGCTTCTTACAGCCAATTCGTGTGAAGTTTGAGTTGTTCTTGAGCGTATATATTTTACTCAATATCCACTGTTAAAGAGAGTCTTGTTCTTGAGTGTTTTGAGTGTTGTATACACGGTAAGGTAAGCTTGTTTCCCTTGGTTTTATGAAGGAAAGGGATTTTCCTTCGGGTTGAAGTCTTGGAGTGCGGTATCTCCGAGCAAGCGTTGTTGAGGCTCGTGGGACTCGAGTTCTCAAGTTGTAACGGTTTGTTAAGCACCTGTAAGCTTAATGGAAGTAGTGTAGCTCGAGAGAGTCTCTCAGGAGACTGGATTAGCCACACGTTGTGGTGTACCAGTATAAATCTTGGTGTGCTCCCTTTACGCTTTCTACGCTCTTTACTTTTCACGTTCTTAATTTTTATTCCTGCGATTTCTACGATCAAATGCTATTCACCCCCCTCTAGCGTTGGTCACTTATTCTAACACGGGCTGTTTATAAATAACCTACCCGGTAACAAAGTTGGAGTAGAAAGTAGTTGGGTGTATTTGTCCAAACAAACAAATAATATATTTATTAGGCACTCAACACACAATATGGAAAAGATAACTTCATTGATATTAATGTTTTACAAAGTTCCTGAAGGCAGAACATTACATCAAAAATAAAAAAGGGAGAAAGTGCGCTTGTTTAAATCCCTTCGAATGGGGCGGCCGGCTCATCATTGTGAAGCTCGGGCAGGGAGAAGGCCTTTGGCTCAAAACCTTGGATGCGTCGCTGAAGGATCCCATAAAGCGCCCGACGCTCCTGGTACTGGTCGCTTTCGAAACCAAAGGTCCCGATCTCGTCGATGACCTTGGCCGATTCTTCATGTTTATATAGGCCCTGGAAGAACCGAATGCTAGCCTCCCGGTTAGAGATTGCCCGGGCATCAAACTGTTCTGGCTCTTTGGCTGCCTAGGATGCAGCATAAGTGGCCCGGTCGCTTCTCTCCCTTTCAAGTTTCGCCTTCAGCTGGGCGATTTCTTGAGCTGACCGAGCGGCTTCTTTCTTCAGCTGGGCGGTCACTTCCTTCAGCTGTGCCTTCTCCCCCTCTAGCTCTTGGATTTTCTCCTGAGCTTGAGCAACGGCCTCTTTGGAAGCCTTCAACAACCCCTCATGTTTGGCGTAGAGCTTGCGAAAGGCTGCGCAGTGCTCTAGCAGCTTCTCCTCAGCTTTTTCCGCCTTCTCATGGGCGGCCTTGGCCTCCTTCCGGCAGGCCACCATCATGCCCTCTATCCGGGCCTTCTCTTCATCCTTGGATTTCACAAGCCGGGTGAAACATTCCTGGCCAATCCGGCTGACCTGCTTCAAAGGGATAGAAATATTTCAGTAGGATGATCCTAAAAACAGTGTGGAAAAGAAATGAGGAAGATTACCGCGTTCAGGTCGGCACAGAAAGCTTGGACGAGCCACATGCAGGGAAACTTGCACGTGTGGTTCTGGCCGGGGACCCCCCGGTATACTGTACTAATATGTGTAGGTTCCCGTAATTCGAGTGAGATTGTCATGGCGCAAAAGCAGATATGGTCCGCATAAGGGAACAAGGGACATAACCAATACAAGAAATAAAGAGCAGATCGTCTTTGATTAGCTCGAGGTAATGATCTCCCAGAAGCGGAAGCTGAATCAGTTGCAGGCTATAATGTAGAATATGCGCGGGATGCGATCCTTAATAGTTCACTTTTGGCGG